TTCTTTTTTCTTTTTTTTTGTGGTGAAACTAGATGAAAAAAGAAAGCTGTACTGGCGTTGCTTTCGTTGCTTTTCCATTCCCTCACAGTGACATGAATTCTTGTGTCAAAGTGAGACTGTCCTCCAAAACAGCAAATGCCCAAAAATGACCTTGTGGCCTTAGAAAATATGACTGTGCTGGATCAGAGGCAGCACAGCGTTGGACTAGGAGACAGTTATTTTTCTGTTTCTTTTAACCATGACCTTGATCATTCCGTAAACCAAGTTATTTTAACCTAAACCACATTCTTTCCATGACCCTGACCATAACTAACCTAATAGTCTTATGTTTGCTGCAGTGATGAGTTGTCCTGCTGATATGTGGTGTCAGATAAAGAAAACGGGCACTTACAACTGGTGAATTCTGCTATTCAGCCTGGACTGAAGATTTCCTTGAGCATCACACAGCAAAAGCATGCTAACACTCTCATCAGTCAGTCTGTCAGAAAAAGCCTTTCAATTATGTCAGGTCTGATCTGACCACAGGGGATGGACAGAGGAGAAGAGGGGAGTGAGTGTGTTGTGAAGCACAATTGATGGCAGGCACAATGTCTGTTGCAATTCTACTTCTGCACCACTTTTATAGGTCTACTGAGACACAACTAAGATATTTTTTGTTTCACATTCTAAAGCTGGGAGGGGTTGAGTCAGTGAAGTACTAAGGCTACGTCCAGACTGATACGTTTTCATTTTAAAACGAAAACCATTTCCGTGGACCATTTTAGAGAAATGATGCCCGTCCAGACTAACACACCTGAAAACACAAATCACATGAACATTCATGTACACTGCACAGGTGCAAGTCAGTGCAAACAGGAAGTAGACTGTCTACTATGCAGCTGGTTAGCTACAGTAAATACAAAGACACTTGTAGCATTAAAACAGAGAATGTAAGTGAACAACAGCTGCTAGCAAAGACAACAAGGTCAGTAACACTGTAATTCAGTGGTAGTCCAGGCTGATGAGAGCCAATCAGGAGAGACCATGGGTGTTTACGTCATTGTTTCCAAGGTCTCCGTTTCGTCCAGAATACAATGCAACCCCAGAGTTTTCGAAATAAAACACAAGCCCAGAGTTTTCAAAGTAAAACTGGTCCAACATAGTTTCCAAAAATCTGCATTTTAGGGGCTGAATACTCCATCACAGAAATCTCTGAGTTTTGTAGGACGCCGCAGAGTGAGCATCAGTAAGTAATAAACATCTATTTAACCTAATGTTAGCTAGTTAAATCTACCTAATCTACTCACTTCTGTTTCTTTTTCTTTTCTTTCTCTCTCTCTCTCTTACCTCGGCTGGGTGTCATGACATGTCTTCACTTCCTGCATCTGTCGTTTCAAATTAAAAGCCCTCTGCAGAGTTGTGGCAGCAGTCATTTTGTATATAGCAGAAACACTGCCAGAGGATGAAGCCTACTGATTTTGATGGTCCCTTGACTTTTCCTCTAGTGCCACCAACAGGTCAATATTTACTTGTCCTGAATTATCTTCATATCTGTTAGATCATAACCAACCCATCAATCGCGATCAACCTATCGATCCGTGTGAAGTTCCAAGTTGGTTGCATAGTATTTCCATTGGAAGGCAATTTGTTAATCATAATACTCTGTATGTAAGCTGTACTGGCTCTGCATCTGTTACTGAGCTACTGGTATACATTCGTGGTTCCCAGAAGATGTATGTTGTACTTGTAGCTGTACTTTATTTAGTGCTACTTCAAATATTAGCATGCCGCACTAAACTAAGATGATGCTCACATCATGTTAACGTTCTTATTGAAAGCTGATGTTGATGCCTTACAGAGTTAGTTACAGAGTCTTAGTCTTGTTATATTATTTGGTCATTTTTTGGGGTGTTTTGGCTTAAGCTTACTTCAGCTAAACCTACTAGAATTGTAGAAGCATCTTCCTGGTTGTGCTGGTATGTGCATACTTTTTCATCATACATTTTTTTCGTGAAAATATTTAGGGGTGGAAAGCACACATACAGGAAAAGCAGAATAGAATATTAAAAAAGGTCTTCAGTCTTTTCTCTGAGGAATGTACGGTGCAGTCAGCTCCTGAGCAACAAACACAGGACAATGCCAAAAAGCAGAGTACATAAAGCTGAAATGAAGAGACAATGCACAAGGAAGCGTCACAGGGAGACAGTACTCTGTTTACGTGTCCCCCTCCTCCTCAGTCTCACCATTAGACCGACTAGAGGCGGTGTTGTATCTGATTGGCTCTCTGTGCTGTGGGAGTGATGGAAGGCTCGGCGGGGGTTGGGATGCTGCTGGTGGGGTACCCCCGGGATGACCAGCCACCATCTGCTGGTAAGGTAATACCACTGGTGGGGGCCAAGTGTCCAGCTGGACGGACACTGGAGACCTGCAGAGCAAGTGCAGACACAGAGGCTGAAAGCCATTAGACTTCATCAATAAAAGCCTGGGCTCCTCCAGCTATGTGGTTCACAGGTTTATTGTGAATTATGCATTTAGAATTAGCAGTTTAATCACGGTATACAGGCTGAGGTCAAATAAGATGAATAAATGAATGATTTGATTTGTGAAGAATTTGCCCTCGCAGAGGAATTCCTTCAATTTCCTCTATGTATTTCATCTGTAAATGTCAACCAGTGTCAGCTGTTGAAAGCTAATAGTTTCAGATGATCATTTGTATTCAGAATATATTTAGAAACATTTAGAATTTCTGAAATGTTTTGATGACTAAAAAGTCTTCAATGTTTCTCCAGATACTTTTCTGTGTAAAAAAAAATGTCTTTGATACAGGATTTGTCACAGATTACATTTGCCTTGTTTGTGTCTGATATTAATTGGAGTGTGAGGAGCCATCTGCATCTTTTTTTGCGGAAAGTCATTGCTTGCAGCTGCTATCACTCAGCATTGTCTATGTATCAGCATATCTAAACAGAATAAAAAAAAAAAAATCAGTGTTTATATTATTCCCTGGAGAAAATGATGCATCATCAAAAGCCAAGAGAAATCAGCGGACAATCGTCTTCCACTGTCTCCAATCATGTGATAGTTTGATGGTGGGAAGGCAGGAAGAGTGAGGCCACTGCAGGCCATAAACTCTACATGTCCTTACCATGAACTCCTTAATAGCTTGTGACTGATGCCAGGCCAGGGATGTCCACCACATTGCTATATATTTTGTTTGCATTACATCCTTCAGTATTTACATAGAGACTTTGGTGTAACTCGGTTATGACTTTAATTTCCTGTAATACAAAAAGTTTAATACTGTCAGGACCCATTAGGTTCAGGTTGTGGTAGTTTTTTCGTCAAAATTCTATAGCCCATTCTTCTCTACAGCAACCGTGTGTTGAACCTCCACAGAAGATTACTTTAGGTTCCTCTGATGCGATATTCTACTGAAAGAACAGACGAACTATTCTAAGAATGACTGTAAATCTCTGACCACAAGAAATCTTTGCTTGGAGAATGTCAGAATGTTCTCCCTCTAACCTTCCCAGGGCACTTCCCCTGAGACTGGTTATTTTATGGAGATTTTATGTAGGAGACTTTAAAGTGTTTTCAGAGAACGTTTTAAAATCAATTGATTCATTTCAAAGGCAGAAAGAGGTGGAGAGACATAAGACAGATAGATGATCACCTGGCAACCTACAGTACATCTACCTGTCTACTTATAGTAATAGATGAAATTGGATGGAGCTTCTCACGAGTGTATTTTTATAATGTCATTGGGGTTATCTTACTGTGCGTTAGACAATAAACCTTTTTAACAGAATACACTACTACTACTGATAAACTAGGGATGTGGAATTTATTTTATTTACCAAGCAGGGAGGATCTAACAAAGACTATCTATTGAACTGCATTAGGATCCAGAGCTTTGGGAGCTCGACCCAGACTAAATGTAAGAATATCCTAACCCTCTGCCGGTTCGATTTTGACCATTAATCCTTTATTCTGTCTCTTGTGAGTTCTCCAAACTTCTCGAAGTAAAATACTAAATTACTATTTATTACTAAATGGGGGCACAGAGCTCGGGTGAGCTCACTCCTCTCTAACTCTGCAGCCCTATTTTTGTCTCTTCAAACCCGGCCCTGACTCAGGTGACATCACTTGATGACTTGAAGCTACAATCTGGTCCAGGAGTAACGCTGACATTTATGTTGAAAGCTGCACATGGTCGCTTTTAAATAAAATGAAATAAAACACATCTGTCAGACTTAGACTTATCGGCTCAGGGACACTAAAGGCTCTATATTACTTTTTCACATATACAGTAATAATCTGCAACGCATGGAAGCTTTAACTAAAATGTATAAATTAGTGTTCTGGTTTTGCAGTTCTCCCCCTTTCATGTACTGTTTTCCATTATATCATTTGGCAACACAAATCTATTTAGATGGCATGTTAATAAAGCAAACTGAATGCAAAATAATAATAATACACAATATACTCACCATTAGGCTACTTTATGCATTGTATTATTTTCCTGTATCATCAGTAGGCTGTTTTCCCACTATATTCTTTAAATAGTGTGTCAAGTTCCAATAAAGTAGCCTATAATATTTCATTATGCTAATATCCTTCCTATATTTAGAACCTGTGTGTGTGTGTGTGTTGTTGTTGTTGTTGTTGTTGTGGCGTCTTTTATAATAGGCTATGAGAAGCCTATGAGAAAGGGGGTAATTCTCTCTCTCTCTCTCTCTCTCTCTCTCTCTCTCTCATTCGCTCTTCAATCCTCCAACAGTCGCTTCACCAAGTAGGAAGAGCACAGTCACCGCTTTATGATCCGCGCGCACCGACCAACCGGCCCGCGAGCTGCTCTGTCTCTCTCTCTCTCTCTCTCTGAGCTGCCCTCTCTCTCTTTCTCCGTACACGTTATTCGGTACCGGATTCTCCGCGTATACATGTAGCCGGTAGCTCTCAGCGGGAGACTCTGTTGTCGCCTTCGCGCCATGGAGGACTGCTGTTCCCCAGAAAGCGAGAGGATGGAAGCGTGGCTGGACGACCACTTGGAGTTCACCCACTCCTACTTTATCAGGAAGGCGTCAAGGTAAAAGCGGACGGAGTGGAGAGGAGGGGGTGGGCTTTCATCAGCTCAGGACATTAAACATTAAACCTGAATTACTGTGTTTATGTGCAGCCTGGTGAATGTGAGTGTAGTTTCCACAGGGATTCTCAGTAAATAAACTCAGTTTGCTTTTGTGTACAGGCCAACAGCCAATCATAAAGCACTTCATTTCCTCTGTTAGTTTAGATTGTTTTTACTACAGGTATCACTTTACCTCTCTATTAAAGACAGGAACTCTATGTAACCCTGCACTGATCATATCTAACGGTAAACATCCTGTGGGTCTATGTCAGGCCCACTATGACCTGCAGGCTGTCCCTGCTCAGGTGGTCTACCTGCAGAGCTGTGCATGCCACACAGCTGCTGCACTGCACTGTAGTGATTCACACATGCACTCAGTTCCTCACAGCTCAGCTCTATCTCATTTCACCATTCAATTCATAATCAGTAACAGCTCGGAGAGTTGCACAGGGACCTTTAAACATTAACTTTTACTGCTGTTTAATTCTCAGCGTTCTGTTGAATAGGTCCTTGGTGATAATGATACAAGCCTCCCTCATATGTGCCTGCGCCATCAATGAAACTATTTTCTTCTGATGCAGCCTCCTCATTTTAGACCTCAGAAAGCATTTCTGGGGAAAATTAGCCATTAAATTTCTTAAGAAACATAAATTGCAAATGAGTCTTTCTCAAGCAGCAGCAGCAGCAGCAGCAGCTATATAAGGCGTTTTTTTTGCAGCAGGCGTATCTGGGCATTTCATCAGCCTGGCGGCATTTCATCAGGACACTCAAAGTCTGTTTGTTTTAGTGACAAAACCCTTCAGACCCATTTATCCACTTAAACCATCATAGCAACTTCACCTTGTCTTCTTTTTATCCAGCAATGACAAAACAGAAAAAAAATCTCCATCTTGAAATATTTTCCATAAAAAGCATTGACAGAGGAGATGTTTGTTCCTCCCCTGCTGTTTTTGACTGCATTACCAAAGCAGAAAAGTTGATGGGCTCGGTGCGAGAGGTTTGCACACATCAGCCATTCTGTCGTTCTGGTTGAGAGGTTTTTTTTTTTTAGAGAGGTATTGATTTAGCCACACCTCCCCTGGATACATTAGGGTCGGCTCTGTAGGGAGGCAGGCTACTTGATGGGAGATGGAGTAAGGAGGACTCAACCTGACTGACTCCGACACACTGCACTCAGATAACAGCCCGTTCTCTGTGGCTCTCACAAGTTTTATTTGCCTGGCTCAGGGCCTAAGATACCATGGTTAATTTCATGGCCAGAGCCTTTTACCGTCCTCTCCAGGTTTGGGCCGTCCACTCAGGTGAACAGAACCTTTTTTACTGGCATGAAAACACCAGGAGTCACATGACCTTCAGCATGTTTGAAAACTCGAGCAGAAGCAGAGAAGAGTTCCGCTGGAAAGTGTGTCTGGATGTGTGTGTGTGTGACCAGGTTGTCGGGGTTGATCAGACAATGTGTTGACTGATTAGAGAACGTCGCTGTAATCACATCCAATTCACATCCTGTTCACACAAACACACACACACACACACACACACATACACCATGTCTGACACACACACACACACACGCTCACATTTGATTTGTTCCAGTAAATATCCACCATCAGACACATGAAGGGGCTACAGCACACACCGGCTAAATGAAAACACTTCATCACAGAGACCGTTCACTTTTATTATCCATGCTCACTTATAATTTATCTACAAAAATGATACTTCTGTTTCATAATCTCCAGCGGTGAAATTGCCAGTTGCATTATGTTTAGTGGCCACATTTGCTGTATTCTTGTTATCACTGCTAAGAGACGTTATTTGTTGTAATGGTTTAGCTCAAAGCAGACAGCTCTCTTCAGTCAGAGTTTTCAGATGCAAATTATGTGCAGAAGCCAAAGAGAAATTTGTGGTGGAGGGATATGTGTATTAGTACCTGAATCTCCGCAACCAGGGGCCAATTCCCAATTCATGACAACCTCTCACTAGTTTTATTTTTTGCAAATATATTTTCTAAGGAAACCCTGAAAGCCAAGTGAAAAAAAAAATAATGTCAGGATTTTTTTAGTATTTGTTTTTGTAATACTCGTTTTGGCCACAAGATGCTGTGAAAATGAAAGTGACTTTTTTTTTTTTTGGTCATTCAGGGTGCACATTAACAGCGTGAAGCTCCTGCACGTGGGAGAAGTTCCTGGGTTCGGGTCCCTTTTAACCCATATATCCGTTGTGACCTGCTCGCTCCGTGGACTTGGTATCTATCACCTGACTTCCTAAAGCAGAAGCTTCCTTGCTAAAGAAAAACATGACTGCTTTTTGTCCTAATCAGACTGGGGGGTAGTGGTTCACTTCAGCGCCTTGTGGCTGAAATGAGTACTACAAAAGTGAACACAAAAGCCTTTCAGTGACTGTCGCTTCCCTGATCTCAAGCTAATTGTTTATTTCCCTGATCCTAGTTTATCTCTGGCTTGAAACTTTAAGTGATAATATGGAACTTTTGAACGAAGTTACTGTCATATGCAATAAATCCCTTCCTTCGTCTGAGATTTAAGCCTTGCTTGCTCTTGGATCAGTGGCTTATGGTAGCTAGTCTTTGCTAATGTTTGCAAACTTTAGATAGGAAGTGTTCGCACATTATTCCTCGGTGGTAAGCCCTTGTACTTAGTGAAACCAGATACAAACAAATAGTGTATGAATCAATGGCTGAATCATAAATGCCATTTAATAATCTCATTTATTGATTTGGAAAATTTTGAGAATCTTCTGATTTTATTGAGTCTAATTGCTCAAATTCTGATAATACAAAGAGTCTTTTCAGGGTGTTTGTGACACTCAGAAAAATGTATTCACTCCTTCTGATTGTGTCATTGGGACTGTCTCTGAATGATAACGTCTTTGAAGTCACCGCCTTGGGAACTAAGAGGAAAGTCGTCGGGGCCTTTGCACCTTGTGGTCCAGGAAATTCCATTAGCACATTATCCTCATCACATTAAGGGCCACACATTAAGATTGTTGGGCCAATATATCATGACTGATTGGACTGAGTTGGTTCAGGGTCAGATGGTGTTGAGAGTCCATGGATAAAGTCTTACAGTGTGTTTTCTGTTGGAACCAGTTGCTGCCTATTATTCACATTAAGATTAATTTTGAACATTTAATTTTTACAACTGGAATTGGGACCACTGGCATCACATGTTCGATCTGGAAATCTAATATATACGCATGCATTTTTTAATGTCTGAAAATCTTAGCAAACGCTAACAACTGTTATTTCATGATTGAGTTGATCATGTTTCACTACAGAGCCACAGCTCAGCTGAACTTCACCTCGCTCTCATGGAGCTGATTCACCTGCTGCTCTGTCTGCGAGGGTTCACTGTCCTCATCGCCTGTGTCTCTCACTCACGGTCTCCACCCAAATTTTGCATTTTTAATCTGAGTCTTGGCCTTTCCACTGCTAATTGCAGCATAGATTATCCAGGCATGGATGCCTGTTTTTGTCTTGGAAGAGGAACAGATGATGATGATTTGTGTTCTTGACCACGTGTATTTATTCAGCTGCTCATTACGTGTTCTTCTCTGTCGGGAATAAATGTTCTGAGTATGTCGGTGGAGAATGTCATTATGAAAGAAGTCTTCAATAATAAGGTCTGTTTGAAATGAACTGCATGTGATCTGACAGTTTAACCTGCAGAACATCAGTAACTGTTACAGTTTCTTCTCCTCCGGACAGGGAGATGGTTAATGCCTGGTTCGCTGAGCGTGTTCACACCATCCAGCCTTCTGCCTCCAAAGAAAATCCTCCACAGCAGCGGGCGCACCAGTCCTCTACAGACCCTGCTCCCACCTCCACCATCCTCCCACCCACCCTCAGCCTCCTGGACAACCGCTGCCCATCCCCAGCCACGGTCCCCAGCCCAGCCCCTGGCACCCCGACTCGCAAAATCTCGGCATCAGAGTTCGACCGCCCGCTCAGACCCATTGTGGTTAAAGACTCGGAGGGCTCGCTGACGTTTCTGAGCGACGCCGACCGTGAAACCGTGCCTCTCTGGGGCTCAGGGATGGGTGAGGGCAGTGTTGTTGGGGGCAGTGGTAATGGAGGCGGACTCAGCGAGGCAGGTAGTGGCAGCGGGGGTGACCGCTGCACCAGGCTGCTGGAGCTGGTGAAGGACGTGTCGAGTCATCTGGATGTGACAGCACTCTGCCACAAGATCTTCCTCCACATCAATGAGCTGATCGCTGCCGACCGCTACTCACTGTTCCTGGTAGGAATACAGGGGAAGGGGCTGTGGGGGGGGGGTCAAAGTGTAACTCAGTGGGCAGAGGAGGAGGAGGAAGTGAGACGTAGGTCTCTACGGTATATCTGATGTGAAAAGCTCCGGCTCTTTAGAGGGAATGAAACAGTTAGTGCTGACAGGTGTAAGTGTTAGTCTGTCATGTTAGTACCTGTCTGTCTGAGCTAGTTTTCTGCCTTTGTATAGCATATTTTATGTTTCGTGTATTTAACATGTATTTGTAGTGTGAAGCCTGAATGGGGGAAAAAATAACTTATTTGCTCAATTCAGTATTATAAATGAAGGATAGATTAAAACAAAATGTTTTTTATATTTTTCTCCCTGAAGTAGCGTTAAGTGATTTTTTTGCCACAGGCAGCTTATGAACTTATAATGGCTAACACATTAGCAAACAGCCGCTAATTTACCAGCTACCACAGAGTAGCAATAATCTTTATTTAGAGTTGTTTCTGTCCACCTGATGAATTTAAATCCAGCAGGCCTTTTCCACAACAGGTGCTTTGACTTAGGAAAAGTAGAGGTATTAACAATAGCCCCATTCCAGCAAGTGCCCCAGTAAAGTATCTTTGATAGTGTACAGTGGGTCGCTGCTGTAGGAAACAAGGGCTGCAGTCGAGAAGGTCAAAATAATCTCCTCTCCAACCACTTTTCCTCGACCTTGATGGAAAAACGTCATGAGGTCAAAGACGTGAAGGAGAAGATAAGGACATAGGAGAAGAATCTAATTTCACTGACACTAAGCCTTGTTTTTTAAACTAACTTTATTTATAACACATGGACGATAAATCCTCCTTTCCTCACCACAAAGAAAAAGCAAACAGAATAAATTATATTCAGACATAAATATAGTTTTCTGTCATATACGCTTTTAACATTTCTATAAGTTTGTTAAGTAGAGAAAATTCATTTTTAGTGCTTTACACAATGGGAGGGGATTTAGTGCAACAACATTTATTCATAGACTATAGTATTTGGATATGATAATATAATTAACTATAAATTCAACCTGTTTGTTCTTCATGACGACTCCTCACTGATTTAAAGAGAATGAATCTGTATTTATGGATTTGGGCTTCAGTGGATCAGACAACGATCTCCATCAGTTCTGGTGGTCTTTCTTAAAACAGCTGCTCTGATGTTTCTACATTTATCTGGGTCTGCAGAGGTGAAACTACAATGATGTGTTGCTTTAAACGTTGCTGCGGCAAGGAATTGTGGGACACCATTTCTCCTATTCTTTTGTAAAGAATAGGTTTCCTATGCTGAAGGAGATAAGAGATTTCGACCGCAGGTTTCAAAACAACGAGCTAAAATAGGCTAAAAAAGCTCTGTCGAGCTGAGGGGAACTGCAGAGTTTGCTGATGATTGTATGTGGGCTCATCATTGTTACTGACAACCTCCACATTACAGTGTCATTGAATCTATTATTCATGTAAAATGATAGATTTTTCTTGTATGGGATCTTTTAATGACGTGACTTTAAAACCTGTAGCTGCTAATTAATAAGTCTCTCTGGATTGGTCCCTATGAGCAGCACCTTCATATTACATATAGACATAATCAAAACCCCTAACAGTGACTCCAGTATAGTCTGATGTCTGTGTAGTGTGTCCTCTAGTTATAGTGGAATCAGATTTATTTATGTGAATATTACCTGCACAATCAACGTGTTCTCTTGACTGAGTACCTTTTTCTTTTTAGTACAGTAAAGAGCACGATCATATATACAACATGTCATGTCTGCATGTCTGTTTTACTGATTTGTATGTGTGTATGTGTGTGTGTGTGTGTGTGTGTGTGTGTGTGTGTGTGTGTGGTCCCAGGTGGGTGAGGACAGCTCCAACAGAAAGTTCTTGGTTAGCCGGCTGTTTGATGTGGCCGAGGGATCCACATTGGAAGAATCCTCCAGTAGCTGCATCCGGCTGGAGTGGAACAAGGGCATTGTGGGACACGTAGCTGCAACGGGCCAGGCACTCAATATCAAGAACGCGTATGAGGTGGGGATTTCACATGGTCTTGCCTCCTTTTCTTCATGTCACCGGTAACAGTGAAGATGCTGGTGAAGCCTCTAATGAGGTGGTTTTGCTGTGTGTACATTGGTGTGTGTGTTGAAACAGGCTTGTGTTTGCTTTGGGGTATATTTGATGGTTCATGCTGACAGAGCAGACTGGAGGGGGTGGGAGGGGCATCAAAGAAGGACAAGTAGGCTCCTCTCTCACACACACACACACACACACACACACACACACACAAACACACACACACACGCCAGCTGCAGTCTCTGGTGACATTCTGACCCCTGACAGTTTCAGTGTATTAACCAGGTTTCAACATAATACCACTCTCCCACTTCAATCAATGATCAATCTGACTTTAGAACCTGTCACCAACGACATGGCTCATCTTTACATCACAGTAAAAAGCTAAATTGCAAATTAAAGGAATATGTTGAAATACGCTTATTCACTTAAATAGAAACAGAAAACTTCCCTTTAAGTTAGACATACACCTACCTGTCCTTTTAAAGCTCAATCATTCACATATAAATAAAATCAAAGCGAAGTGAATTGAATTAACAAACAGTGAGATTAATATCAATCTGAACCTTTCACTCCCAGAAAGAAAGCAAATAACAGTGTTTCTCAATAATGTTAACTCTCCCCACCCTGGATGTTGTCCTGTGAGCAACTGTAGAGTCACCATTCAATCTAACCTGCATGTCTCTGGACTGGGGGAGGAAGCCTGAGTACCCCGGGCAGACCCTGTTGTTGTGAGGGAACAGTGCTAACCACTGCACACTGTGCCACCCTTGTTTACATGTGATTGACACTTCTACACTTCATAATATAATATGTCATAACACTGCTGTAATACAGATAACCGCATTTATATTTACAACATATTAAGTTTAATGTGTGGGGGTGTTGTGTATTTTTATTTAAATCTTCAACAGTTGGGGGCGCCGTGGTGGCTCGCCTCATACCACAGGGGTTTAGTCCTAACTGCAGCGGCCACACACACACACACATACACACACACACACACACACACACATGTTTACTTTAGTCACTTTTGGGGAAATTACACACACTTGCATTCATTTTGTGGAGACTTACCCTGACCATTTTATAATATACCTGTTGTTCATGTTGTCTGTTGGACTTTGCAATTCAAGAAGTTCTTTGCAGCAGAATTTTACAGTTCCACAGTGAACATCTCTGCGTCAGCAGAAGAAAAACAATGTAATAAATAAATCTATGTATAAATGTATCTGTACAAATTCTGAACTAAATGAATGAGTTTAGATTCCTCAGAGTCATCACTCCATACGTCTGCTATCTCATTAATCCTCATCTCAGACCAAACAAAAACTAATCAGTGTGTCACAGTGAGGTGCTGATGTTTGAGTTAACCATTGCACTGCTGGTCCGACATGAGCCTGAAGTTTGCTTGATAATCACCAGCTAGATTACTGAAGTTAGTTTAAAGTTCATTGTTTGTGTTAATGGTTGTTTAGACGGACTGATCAGTGTGGTGCTTTATGGCATATGGTAACAATCTAAGACTGTGATAGCCTATATGGGACGTCACATTGTGTGATGAATGTCTGGGGGATTATAGAGCTGCAGTGTAAATAGATGAATAATATGTTTTTACATATGTAGTCATGTGTGTTTTGTATATTTGAATCAGAATTTGGACTTCAACTTCTGACATGTCAAATTTGCCTTAAGTTTAAATTGAATGTTGCTGGGCGTGTCTCATAGTACAATATGACCACTGTTCTGGATGTCACATTTCTCTCACAGTTATTAGATTTGTCAAACTCACAGTGTGTATATGGCCTTCAATCTGAATGTGGGTTAATGGGCAGCATGGCTGTAGCCTAGGAATCATATCAAATATCAGTTCTTGTAGTCCAGCTACATGCTTCTACACAGAAACACAGCCTTTGTTTGAAACAAAAAAAAGATGAGGTTATAGTGTGTGCTTCTCTGCTTCCATAAAAATATCTTCAAAAAAAGATTCAAGGCCGATAATGAAACAGTTTGTTTTCCACAAAGCAGCAGCATCAGCGCCTGGAGTCATTTATTCTGTGTGTGATTTCCTGCTGTGCACTTCCCTCCTTCTGATAGCTCTGTCATCTGGCTGCCTGCTAACCTCAAGATGATGATGATGACAGAGGGAGAGAGAGGGAGAGAGGGAGATAGGAAGAGAGGGATGGATAGAGGGGGTGGGGGTGGTGGTGGGGTAGAGAACAACAGTGTTCCACCTGTGTCCAAGCTTGCTTTGTGTTTGTGTGTGTGTATGTGTGTGTGTGTGTGGTGTGTGGTGTGTGTGTGTGTGTGTGTGATCACCTTATAAGTGAGTGCACTTGAGGATTCAAGTGTGTTTTTGAGTGTGTGAGCGCATGTGTATGTGTACATAAGTGTGTGTAATTAATGCCTATAAATGTATGAATATGTGTAAAAGGTGTGTCTGTCTGTCTGTCTGTCTGTGTGTGTGTGTGTGTGTGTGTGTGTGTGCAATTCTGTTTTTGTGCACATATGTGTGTAGCAAACAGAATTAAATTGCACATAAAAATGTGTGTAAAACAAAATCAATATTAGTGTGTGTATCATGATGTGCACTAATTGACTCAGTTAATGCACAATTATCTGACTGTTTATGCTGCATGTTATATATATATATATATACGTATATGTGTGTATGTGTGTGTGTGTGTGCGCTGCAGAACCTGATACTGCTTCCAGGAAGTCAATCTACGTCATCTGAGGGACTCCCCAGCTCTCTGATTGGATCTTTAACTCCCCATTAGTCTGCTCAGGATTACATTGATTTCAGCAGCACAGTGACGGACACGCCCCCAGCTGCTTGTTTACATCAGTGTGAGCCACTGTGGCCTCAGCCAGGCCTCACCTGTGTCTGACTGCTGCATCATAAATACCAGCTCTGTTTTCATTTCACTCTGTCCTCCTCCACTCTGTCCTCCTCCACTCTGTCCACCTCCACCGCTCTGTCCTCCACCACTCTGTCCTCCTCCACCACTCTGTCCTCCACCGCTCTGTCCTCCACCACTCTGTCTACCTCCACCACTCTGTCCTCCACCGCTCTGTCCTCCACCACTCTGTCTACCTCCACCACTCTGTCCTCCACCGCTCTGTCCTCCACCACTCTGTCTACCTCCACCGCTCTGTCCTCCACCACTCTGTCCTCCACCGCTCTGTCCTCCACCACTCTGTCTACCTCCACCACTCTGTCCTCCACCGCTCTGTCCTCCACCACTCTGTCTACCTCCACCACTCTGTCCTCCACCGCTCTGTCCTCCACCACTCTGTCTACCTCCACCGCTCTGTCCTCCACCACTCTGTCCTCCACCGCTCTGTCCTCCACCACTCTGTCTACCTCCACCACTCTGTCCTCCACCGCTCTGTCCTCCTCCACCACTCTGTCTACCTCCACCGCTCTGTCCTCCACCACTCTGTCTTCCTCCACCACTCTGTCCTCCACCACTCTGTCCTCCACCACTCTGTCCTCCACCGCTCTGTCCTCCACCACTCTGTCCTCCACCACATTGTCCTCCACTCTGTCCTCCACTCTGTCCTCCACTGCTCTGTCCTCCACCGCTCTGTCCACCTCCACCGCTCTGTCCTCCACCACTCTGTCCTCCACCACATTGTCCTCCACTCTGTCCTCCACTCTGTCCTCCACTGCTCTGTCCTCCACCACTCTGTCCTCCACTCTGTCCTCCACTGCTCTGTCCTCCACTGCTCTGTCCTCCACTCTGTCCTCCACCACTCTGTCCTCCACTCTGTCCTCCACCGCTCTGTCCTCCACCACTCTGTCCTCCACCACATTGTCCTCCACTCTGTCCTCCACTCTGTCCTCCACTGCTCTGTCCTCCACCACTCTGTCCTCCACTCTGTCCTCCACTGCTCTGTCCTCCACTGCTCTGTCCTCCACTCTGTCCTCCACCACTCTGTCCTCCACTCTGTCCTCCACCGCTCTGTCCTCCACCACTCTGTCCTCCACCACTCTGTCCTCCACTCTGTCCTCCCCTGCTCTGTCCTCCACCACTCTGTCCTCCACCACTCTGTCCTCCACCGCTCTGTCCTCCACTGCTCTGTCCACCTCCACCGCTCTGTCCTCCACCACTCTGTCCACCTCCACCACTCTGTCTTCCACCGCTCTGTCCTCCACCACTCTCTTCTTCACCGCTCTGTCCACCACCACTCTGTCCTTCACCACTCTGTCCTTCACCACTTTGTTCACCATTCTGTCCTCCACCACTCTGTCCTCCACCACTTTGTCCACCACTCTGTCCTCCACCACTCTGTCCTCCACTCTGTCCTCCACCACCACTTTGTCCACCATTCTGTCCTCCACCACTCTGTCCTCCACCACCTCTTTGTCCTCCACTCTGTCCTCCACCACTCTGTCCTCCACTCTGTCCTCCACCACCACTTTGTCCACCATTCTGTCCTCCACCACTCTGTCCTCCACCACCTCTTTGTCCTCCACTCTGTCCTCCACTCTTTCCTCCACCACTCTGTCCTCCACCACTTTGTCCACCATGCTGTCCTCCACCACTCTGTCCTCCACCACCACTTTGTCCTCCACTCTGTCCTCCACTCTTTCCTCCACCACTCTGTCCTCCACCACTTTGTCCACCATGCTGTCCTCCACCACTCTGTCCTCCACCACCACTTTGTCCTCCACTCTGTCCTCCACCACTCTGTCCTCCACCGCTCTGTCCTCCACCGCTCTGTCCTCCACCGCTCTGTCCTCCACCGCTCTGTCCTCCACCGCTCTGTCCTCCACCGCTCTGTCCTCCACCGCTCTGTCCTCCACCGCTCTGTCCTCCACCGCTCTGTCCTCCACCGCTCTGTCCTCCACTCTGTCCTCCACCACCTGCTTGCTCCAGGTTGAGGTGATGGAGATGTTTAGAGGAGGAAACATCAGAGAGACTCAGCCTGTTTGAGCCTCAGTCAGTTGATGTAGTGACATGACCGACAAAAAATACATGTGAACCATGTGGGACGTGCTGCTCCTGCGTCTCCCTCAGCAGCTTCACTGACAGGAATCGACCAGCTGACATTGGATGAGGGCGGGTTACACCCTGGACAGGTCGCCAGTCTATCACATATAGAGACAAACGGCCACTCACACACCTATGGGCCTAATTGTGGGAGAGAACCCCGGCAGACACGGGAAGGCCCCAGGCCCGGTGGTTCAAACACAGAACTATGGGCCTGGCGAAAGGTGACAGTGCTAACCACTGCGCCACCATGCTACCCTTCAATTCAATGAACTTGATTTGTCCCTCAAGGGGCAATATGACGCGAGAGAGTTTGCAGACAAAAGTACACACAGACAATTCATCCACATCTTTCCTCGGGCACAGGAATAACATTTGTGACATTCAAGCCTTTTATTGAGTAAAAAGAATTATATATTTATGATTGTTGTGTGATTTGAATGCACAGCTGCTGTTTGACTTTTACTTGTAGTTCTGGATTTTAACGTCATCGCTGCAGCTTATGAACTTCTAACATCACTTCACTCACAGTTTAGGTTTATGGATGTGTTGCACTCCAAACTGCTTTACTCCTGTCCATGAGAATATAAGAACTCATGTTGTGTAAATCATTTCTACAGTCATTTCTACATGTAAACTGATACGATCTTGCATCTCAGCGAAGGCTTGGCGTGGGGAAAGTGGCAGGAAATTAACTGAATAAGCAATTCTGACCCACGGCCAGAACCCGTAATGAACCAAGTCTGGCACTTGTGGCGTATGTCAGTTGTAGTTGTGGGCTGTTGAACTCGGGGCCACCAGTCGGACTCTACTTCATCTGCATATCTCATCCCGGACTTGGCTGAGTCTTTGGCAGAACGGTCAGTCCACACTGCGGCCGTACCTCACGGCTGATCAAGCCGGCCGATGTCGCGTCGAGTGTTTTTGTTCTGGCATCCGTGATTCGGACCATGTGTGGGCCGACACAGTTTGCTAGCTGGGATGTTTGGGTGGTCTTATTACCTGTTCAGGACTTGTTCTGTGCTAGGGATCGTTGTGTTTTACCAATCATTTTAGAGCTGATGTTAACAACACCTGGCAATCGGTTCCTGACTTATTGAAAAGGGAAGTAAACTGCGTATACAACAATAATAATAATGATGATGATAATGTTTTTCTTTATTTCTTCCTCTTTTCCCTCTCCTAAAAGTCTATAGTAGTTGATATTCTGTTATTGTATGCTGCAAAGTAATCACAGTAATCAATACCATGGTCAATATCCTACAAACGTGTCTATATAATGATGTGAGTGTTTCAGTGCCATTGTTTCCTTTTTCAGTTCAGGTTTTCACTTCAATTCAATTCAATTCAATTTCATTTGTATAGCGCCAAATCAATATATACATTATCTCAGGGCACTTTACAGGGTGATGTGGAGACCTCACATTATTATAGAGAGAGACCAACAGTTCACAGGGGGGAGGAAAAACTCCCTTTAACGGGGAGAAACCTCCAACAGAAGCGGGCTCGGGGTGGGGGTGGGGGTGGGGGTGGGGGGGGCTGTCTGCCTCCACCTGCTGGGTTTTCAGCCCCATAGTTCTACAGAACCAACGTGTGTTAGCGTTTAGAGCTGTTAATGTGCCAGTGCTCTCACTGTCAAGTGAATATGTGCCATGGAAGAATGGACAGCCTGACAGGTGAAGCAGACTAAGGGGCGTTAGTCAAGATTCACTAGTTAGACCTTTGTTTTTATTCCTTCAACAGCAGTCTCTTCAAGAGTCCAGTCAGTGTGAAATGCTGAGTTTAAACGAGCAGCAAACAGAACAAGGAGAAATATTCTACTAAAACAGGGGAAGTTGATATTCGCTTGTGTCTCAGGACACCATAGTGTACAGTACAGAGAAATTGAGGACCCTGGAATATGCACAGAAATCCTGCTATGATACAAACATAAGGAACCATTTTGTCTTCCCATACCAAACCTGAGTGTAATGTTTAAATGGTTGTTGTGTCATAGTTTCATACACACATACACACACAGACGGTCCCCTTGAGTCTATGGAGGAGCCTAATGGCAAAGGACAGAGAGAAGGCGAGTGTTTAAAGGTCAGCTGGTGGGTGGGAGATTAGCCCTCTGAAGAAAACATCTCTATATCCATCGGTTCTTAAAGGACCACTGTGTAGGATTTAGTTAGATCTGTTGTCAGACAGGGAATTTGATGTTCATTATTAGGTTTTCATTCGTGTGTAATCACCTGAAACTAAGAATCATTGTGTTTATATCAGAATATCAGTTTCTAAATTAAAGTTATTTAGTGTTTCAGCTGGTAATACAGAAACCGTATGAAAAATCAACAGCGCTGAGGAATCCAGTTATGATTGTTAAAAAGCTCAGAATAGTGCAAGTATGTTGGTCTAACACACTATTAGAAATAGCTCTGAAATATGTGTGTGTCCTGCTTCCCCAGGACCCCAGGTTCAACGCTGAGGTCGACCTGATCACAGGTTACAAAACCCAGAGTATCCTTTGTCTGCCCATCAAGAACCACAGAGACGAGGTGAGACGGCACGACTTCTCAGACCCGAATGAATCATACGATCCACATCGTCAAGTGATATCGAAGCAAGAGCCACTTTAAGGCCCCTATATACGTAAATAAATGTGTATAAATAAAAATGTCTGTTAGATTCGCACAAACCAGGTGATGCACACTGTGTGCATCACCTGGTTTGTTCGAATCTGGTGTGCGTCACCCAGTCCTTCAGATCACCTCTGTCTTTGTTTTATCTATTTCACCCATCACAGGTGGTCGGAGTGGCTCAGGCTATCAACAAGAAATGTGGGGAGGACGGTGCCTTCACTGAACAGGATGAAAAGGTGAGCAAAGTTTCAGTTTCACTTCCAAGGACCGTGTTTTGTTAATGTTTAAAAACTCCGAAACTTGTTGGCAACAGTCTGTTGCTCTTGACTTAAGTGTTGGACAGACTTACTGGCATGTTATGCATTAGTATAAGCATAAGCGTAGCTGTCCTGTCCCGTGTCAAACTACACACGCCTTCTCCTCAATCCATCTCCACCTTTGCGTCCTTCCTTATATCATCCGTCATCTTTCCATCCTCACTTCCTCTCTCTTTCTGCCACTTCTTCATTGATTTATCTTTTTTCCATGCAGTAGTCCGGTCTTGTTTCTTGTCTTTCTTTCCTCTCACATGTGGTTCTCCTCCTCCCTCACAGGACTTCTCGTCCTATTTGGCCTTTTCGGGCATCGTCCTGCATAACGCTCAGCTCTATGAGACATCGCAGCTGGAGAACAGACGCAATCAGGTGAGTATGAATGTGTGTTTCTGAAGGTTTGTGTATGTACGGACACAAGTCTATACACAATCTATTCTTGTATGTGTGTGTGTGCGCAGGTGCTCTTGGACCTGGCCAGTCTGATCTTTGAGGAACAGCAGTGTCTGGAGGTCTTACTGAGGAAGATCGCAGGAACCATTCTGTCCTTCATGCAGGCCCAGGCTTGTACTGTCTTCATTGCTGACGAAGACTCAATGGTCAGTACACACACACACAGACACACACACACACACTATGGGGGGTGAAAAGAGACATAGAGGACGAGATGCACGTACATACTCTGATTGTTTAGTAGAAGCCCCACACGTGCATGAGCGTGTATGTACGTCAGTGACTGCACGTATACATGTATGTGCGTGTTTGTGCAGTCACTTCAGCCAACTCAAAGGACAGAGTAGAATTCCCCACAGTTCTCAGACCTGAGTGTTTCTTCGGTCTGTCCCTCTCATGAATGTTATCCATACATTTATACTGTGGCAGATATAATGACTCAAGAAGAGATGAATCATCCAAGAGGCTCCTTCGGTTCTGACTGACTGGAAATGTCGGTGTTCTTCCTGGATCCTGTTTTCACAAAAGTCCAGTTGGGGTATCCACAAGCTTTAAGTGCGTCTTTCACGTGTTTGTGTTCCTTCTCTTGGGCTTGGACACTTGTCTTCTATGTGTACGGCACAGTCCAAAAAAAGCCACAACATATGCTTGTGTGAATTTGATGTCTCCAGGATGAGGTGAAACATCTTCAGGTATCTACAACAAAGTCCAGTTGCCCTTGATTCAACTCTTCTTGGGTAACCATGGGTGACCATGGCATGGATGACTGCCACAACCTTTGAGGTAGTCCTGACTGGAGACAGTAATTACTTTTAGACTGAAAATAAGCCTTTTTTTTTGCACTTTGTAATAACTTGATTACACGTCATGTAAACACACAAGTTCAAATTAGTCTAATTCATTTTTTGATTTATCACTGAGCCCATACTGTGGAAATGAAAATGATAGATTTTGATACACCTGATACAGTCACAGTTTACAAATAGAAAATACATATAACAAAGAATTTCACAATAGAATGACGAACAGCCCAAGATTAGCTGTAATTGACCATCTGACTTATTAGCTTATTTGTTTATGTATTTTTGCAGTAAAACATGAAGCAGTTGATTGTTGAACAGCTGATTCAAAATCAGCTGTTCAAATAGCTTTTAGCAAAAGGCTGCATTAATGGAAACAGTGGAAGGCTGTTTTGTTTCACTGGTTGAAAAGTGAAGCACTTGAACAGAAGGAAATGAAGCAGCTTTCAGCAACATAATGACTGATGTCAGCTCTGACACGCAGTGTCTGTTCTGCAAGTAAATAACTTTTATATAACAAGACTAGGTCAAAACCTAGTATATGTCTGGACTGCATATGGTCAATGTGCTGAATTAAGGACGTAGTTGAAAACTGATGTGGAACCTGTAAAGGAATGACATCATCACGTCCTTCTCTCCTCCTCTCTGTGCTCACATTTACAGCATTTGAATACAGCTGAATTCACAATAAAGCTGTTCTCATTGACATGTTTTTCTGTCTCTGTTGTCATGACAATTGAACAAGTTTGGAACAGTGACTGAAATATGGTCCATGAAGACTGCATGTTAACCAGCAGTCACTTCCAAGCTGCTGCTAAAATCCTGATTTTATAACTATGACATCATCTGACAACATCACCAAACACATCAGCTAAAGACAAAGACTGTTACAGTTAGAAGCAACAGAATATTTACATTAGTTAGTCTCTCACACAGAGCACAGCCTCTGTCTGGGATCCACAACAGTTTTCAACTTCTGTATTTCCTCAAAAAGTGAGCAGAGACTTGATTTACCTCACCTGCAGAGTGTAATAGACTTTTCTAGGCTTGTCTTCATTTCTGTCTCCCTCTGTTTGATATGTAGAGTTGGTCAGATCGGTATTTCAGCACCAAGCCTCCTTTCGAGTCATTCCTGTCTGTTAAAGTTACTGCATTCTGTGTTTATACAAACTCAACACTTCACAACAGGAGGTGTAGCCCTAAGCCTACTGACCGTGGTCAGTCAGTCAGTCAGTCAGTCAGTCAGTCAGTCAGTCAGTCAGGTCAGGCCATTAGGCCTTTAGGTTGGCCCCACTGTTGCAGTCCAGCCACAAAGCAAAAAAGAAGAGTCACTGGCAGTGTTTTAAAATAAATGCAGTCCTTACTTCTGACTGACACTTTACTGACTCTCTCTGTCTTTCTCTCTCTCTCTCTCTCACACACACACACACACACACACACAGGACCGTGTTAGTCCTCTAAGGACATACTTTTTTTTTGGCTTGTCCTCCTCAGGGGCATCCAGTGTCTGGAAAACACACACTGACACACTTTATACTTCACACTGACACACAGGAAGAGGAAGCAAATGAACTGTCATATACTGAGGGAGATTGATAAATAAGCCTGGTTGTAGTATTCCTACATCTCTGTAGGTGCATCTAATAAGCAGCTGATGGCTGCACAGAAACTGTGAAACTCATCGCACCCATTATTTTGATCCAAGCATTTCAAACATCAGAAAGAATGTGGCTTCTGTTCCTCTGTGTTGGTTCCTGGTTAATGATCCAGTTTCTTCAGATTTACAGTGCTCTCTATTTTTCCATATAAGACAGCTCACATGCTGTGTTTATATTTTATATTAAATAATGTTTATACAGTAATTTAGGGGGAACTTCAAATCTCTTTTCCTAGATGAATAATGGAGGTTATAACACTGAGGAGCCTCATCTGGAGGTTTAGTCTTAGTTGCTCATTTGGCAGTTCTGTCTCCAGCTGTCCTCATCTGTCTTTGTGTGTTTAAATCCATATACCAGTGTGTTGCAGTCAGTGTGACTGATGCATAATGCAACAAAAGTAACTGTTAGAAAGTAATAGAGAGAAGCAGATTAGAATTGGTGGAGATGTTAGTCTGTATAGTTATACTGTATATGGAGCAGTTTGGACACATTTCTAAAAGAAATCTAGAATTACCTCCTTGTAGTTGTATCCCTCCGCAACTCTGACTTGTTCCAGGTTACATCCCTATTCATCCAGAGTCATATAAAATATGAACCAACTGTGTGAAATTTTGTCATAATTGCTGTGAAGTCTTGAGTAATGGCTAAAAAGTGTTTTGTGAGGTCACACTGACCTTGACCTTTGACATTTGACCACCAAAATCGAATCAGTTCATCCTTGAGTCCAAGTGAAAATCTGTGCCAAATGTGAAAGGATTTCTTAAAGGCGTTACTGAGATAATGCGTTCACAAGGCCAAGACCACGTTTTGTGAGGTCACCGTGACGTTGGCACTGAAGTATCCAGGCTTCTTCTCTTCATCCTCTCCTGACCACCACACATCATCTCATTTCAATCTTATGTCTGGAAATATTTTTATCTTTGCCAAGTTTGTTACAACCTAAGAGAGATAACGAACGTTAATAGAACGCCTGTGAAGCGGAGTGATACATGTAGTTAAAAGTCCCAGTGCTGTTATACTCCATATCAGCACTCATGGAAGCCTCTCGTCCAATCAGATTACTTGGTTAGAACTAAATGTTACTAAATATATAAAATTTTTTTAGATCACCCAGGAAACAGTCAGATCAGTGAGCCAATCAGAAGAGAGGTTCAGAGCCTCCTCTCCTCTGATTGGCTCACTGACCTGTTGTCACTAGAGCTCCAGAGAGAAGCCTGAGAGAGGAGATGTAAAACTACACTGAGACGGTTTTTGGTTCTTAAAACCTATGGATCAAAACACCAGAAACCTTTAATTGAAACCTTTACTTGAGTATTACAGTTCACCCTTTGACTTGGCAAGTATAGTTTGACAAAATAATCTTTCTCAAGGTCCACTTTCTAGCTTTTTCCAGACCTTTCAGCCATATATCACAGACTTCATCAGCAAATGAGGAAAATTTAGACAATGAAGTTTGATTTGCTCAGTTATCCAAGTGGTCCATGTCAGTGGTTAATAAATGAAGCTTGAGTTCAGATCATTTTGTCAAACTTGTTTGGGAGGCTTTTTTCTGATGATATGTCACTCTTGTTCAAGGCTGTCTTACTAGCTTCTTTCTTGAGCTTTCATCCATATCTCACAGACTTCGCCAGTGGATGATGACAACTGAACCAATTCAAAGATGGTTCAGTGATGAAACTCTGCTCAGTTGCTTTTGGCAGTGAAGCTCGGAAGTGTCAAATGATTTCCCATTCTTAAACTCTGATACTGAAATAAAAATCATCCTTTTGTTTTTCACACTTGTTTAAGTAAGAAATTGATTAATTTTGATTTTTTTCACATAATATAAGATATTTTGGGTGTTTAAAATCAATTCTCCCACTTCATGACAGAGGAGAAAAGCTCCCTCTGTGCTTGCTGTGCTTGTGGAAGTGCAGGGCGGTCAGGATGACGACAGCGAGTTAAGAGCTCTGCCATAATGTTGGACCACAAACAGCAGTGTTTTAGAGGGCAGATTTTGAGAGGAGAAAATGACAGAGCTAGTTTACATGCAATGAGACTGTCCACCCAGAAAATAAAGGATTCCACAAGACTTCCTGGGTTAGAGCTGGTAATAGAAAACAAATTCCTCAGGGTTATCTTTCTCAGACTGTGGTTCAGTGTTAAGTTCAGTGCGTTGCTTATGCCTGGGTGTTTTGTCCTGAGGGTGGACAACCTTCTGCCTCAGAGTGCTGCTGGGCTTGAAGTGTACAGGGCTTCAGTGTATGTTAAAGATGACAGATTTTCAGATACTCCAGCAATGTAAGGAATGACAGTGCTGTTTCCACTTATTGTTGTTTTCTTATGTCTATTCTGTATGTTTTTGTGGTTTTGAGGAAGGAACAGTTTGGGTATCCATGTGTTTTAAGTACCCGCCTGACGTGTCTTTGCTGTTCTTCCCCTGTGCTCTTGTTCTGAGCCCGGTGCTGCAGGGTTCCCCCAGCTTGTGCTCCAGGGGGGGTGGTGAGAATCAAAGAGTAAATATTGATTTGGTGTGTGTGGGTTTTCTGTGTACTTCAGTGTTGAGGCCTCTTTCATCCACGGGGGTGGACTTGATGGTGTTGTCCTGTGCATAGATGAGTTTAGACCAAAGGCTCATGAAGGAACCGGATTTTGGTCCGTCGCAGGGAAACATTGCAGCGGTGTAAACTGGCCTGTCTCAGATCAACT